TCTGATTGAGCGGAAAACCAGGGGAGAGCAAGATTGCCTGTGTGATTAGTGGAAGGTAATCAGCCATCTGTTAAGCATAATGCACTTACTGAATATGAAGATAGAAAGCATATGTGTGCATGTGCTTACACAGAACTTCTCACCTTTCATATAAGTACCAATGAAAACATATAGAACGGTATAGAAGGGACTTAGGAAAAAATTTACTCTTTATTCATCTATGTAATTTTTTCTACAACCAGAAAGATCCAAACTCTTAGCTGTATTGTGTAATTTATAAGTGTATCCTTTTAGCGTACTAAAATGGTAGCTTCAGAAGTGATAGAAAATAAGTAATTTGAGCTGTATTTTTTTAACAATGAAGTCATAAATCATTCCTGCACTGATAACGATAATGATAAAATGCTACATCCTGAAAATATTGATACATGAAATTTTATTGATTGTGACATCTGAAAATATGCTTTCAGCTGTCCATCTGCAGGTTTAAAGCCACATAGTTTGTACAGATACTTTAGGTACAGAAAGAATTCGGCTGACTGGAAATCCAGCCTCTGATTTTTGCACTGTTTGCTGCCTAAAACTGTCACCAGTGCTATCAGAATTTGACACTGTAGAAAGCCAGACTTAGCTGTTCATTTTATAAAGAATTTCAGCTGTGATAGTGACTCTGCTAGGATGGGCAAGTATGGCTGTACCTTTTTTTCAAAGTATTTTTTTCTATAGGATCATATACAGAGTAACTGGAATAAATGTATTCAGATTTAATAAGTGTTTTATAATGGCTTACGGTTTGCTATCTGTGCATCTCACAGAATTTGGAAAAATAAACCAAAAATATAACAAACTGAGTAATTGAAGTCAGTCACACAAAATGTCTAGCATTGTAATATTTGTATCAAAGTGTTGTTTGATGTGATTTATCCATTCATACATTTCCTAGCAAATGATTTAATCTATGTTGTTCAAAAAAAAAAATTTAAGTCTCAAAATTTATTGCTGAGATTTATTGATTTCTCTGGTGCTACTTTATTCAAATACTGGAACAGTTAAAGCAGGACTTCACATCCTATCTTGCTGTTTTTAGCTTCCATGCTTGTGTTGTATAAATTAATGTCCCAAAGATTAGGATATTGAGAGGAAAAAATATACAGCTGGGGTCTACAGATGCAATTGTGTACATAAGAGTTGTGTGATAAGCAGATAGCTTATCTTCAGGAGCTGGTGGCTTAACAAAATCTTATAAGTGCAGCTCTCTGTTAGGGTGCTGACCTGGTCAGAGCCCACCCAGCGTAAGCATGTTCAGTGATCCAGAGAGCAGAACCCTGCATCTGTATCATCACCTCTGTAGCAGGGCTCTTTGCTTTTTCCATCTGCCCCCCAGGGCTACCCCAGACATGGCTCCGCAGGGAGGGCACAGAGCCACCTGGCATCTCTTTGGGCCAGAGAGCAGCTGGAAGGGGCCTGCTCTCACCTCTGGTTTCGGGAGTCTTCTGGGGAAGCCGTGATTTTTTGTGCTCAGTTTTTGGAGGGAGCAGGAGGAGCTTTTGGTTTGCCTTGCCTGCACCAGAGCTGCCTGACGGTGCCTTTTTTATTCCGCCAGGAAGCGATATCTTGAGTCTGCGTACTAATCAGTCTGCATGCTGGTGTTCCGGCTCAGTTGCTTCTAGCTGTGACGGTTTCTCCTTTCAAGTGTGTGTAGGCTTTTTTTAAAGGTGCCCCAGACCTTGATAATTAGTAGCCAGTGTGTTGTAATACCTTTGAATGTTTGTTTGTTTGTTTTTTTTTTAAGAGACCATACTGAGTTATCTATTTTCATATTCTTTCTCATTTTCTTTCTTGAAGTGCTGCAACTTGCTATATTATCTGCCAGAGAGAAAAGCCTTAAAGAACTTGACTCTGAGAGTGCCTATGATTGAGGAGGTATAGCTGTAATGCTGGTGAGCTTGAGTAAAGTCGAACGATCGTAAAAGCACCCAGGTCAGCAGGTTTTGGGCGGGTGCTGGTTGCGAATGCACTGCATTAGAGCTGGAGCTGTGCTCTGTATGCCTCATGCGCTGTCTTTTGTTTGCTTCTTCAGCAGCATGCTTTAATTTCTGTTTGCTAATTGCCTTAATGTCCTCGCTAGTGCTGAGTCATGTTAGAAAAACTCTTGTGGAGTGCCAGTGGGTTTTGTAGTTTTTTCACACGCACACTAAGCAAGTGCTGTACTTTCTGTGTTTCTGCATCATTTAGTGATTTGAGCCCAACTTTCTGTTGGTGGACTTGTTTAACCTATTGCTGACAAACATACCAAAATAAAGACTATATCAACTTTACTGTAATGTCACTTTTTGAGAGAGGAATTCATGTGAAGGATATGTCTAAAATAAGATATTTTTACCTGATGGAACAGTTGATTTATATGCTATAAACCTGGGTTATGAGCAACAGTATTTAAGGGAAAATGTCTTCAGATAGTTTTGTCTAACAAAATATATTTGGTGTATGTATGGCAATAGCATTCAAATTGAAAAACAAGGGATATGAAAAGAGATGGATATGAGAGATGCTCAGTATCCTGAAACATTAATATTATGCAGTCTTTCTATAAAGCTTTTTGTTTGACACAGTCTTATTCAGAAGCGCTTTACAAAACTGAGCTGAAAGAGTTGGAAATTGTGCAGCAGAGACTGAGAGTGATTTAAATTTTTCATTCTTTCCTTTGATTGCACAGATAGAAATTTTGTTCTGAAGTGCTAAATTAATATTAACCAGCTTGAGAGCTGTTTGAAATATTTTTTTTTTGAGGGAGTGATAGATGTGCAGAAGATAAATTACTAAATAGGAGCAAGATAGGCCCTAAAATCAAGCAAACAGTAAATGACTTTTTTTTTTTTTTTTTTTTTCCTTTCTCCCCTCTCCCCCCCCTTCCAAACTATGAGAAGTAGACTGATGCCTGGGTGCTTCCTTGGTACTCACTTTCTGCAGGAGTAGTCATTGAATACTGAATACTACTGAAATAGTTAGGAATATAACTCAATAGAGCATAGTTGATTTAGTAGTGAAAAATCACTGGTGTTTTTTCTGCTGTCTTATTGCTGTTATGCTAAAAACAAAACTGTACTCTTTAATCACCCATAAAAGACTTGGGATTTTGCCCAAAGTAATAGCTGTATGGCTACATTCTTTTTTTTGTGATCTTAGCACTATGGAGATGCGAGCGTAAGTTGCTAAAATGTAATTAAAGTATTTCTAATGTATCAAATTTGAATCTTTCTGAAATTGCATCTCCTGCTAAATTCAAGTTTTCATAATTCTTTACTTCGCTCTAAGTCTGACTCCATTCTGTTATGTATTCTTTTTTTTTCCTTGGGCGTAAGGTCTACTGCAGCCTTCTACATGTAGCTAGAGCTTACAGAGGAAGAGGAACAGAGCAAAATGTTTTCCTTTTTCCAGTGAGCATTGTAAGTGTATGCTGAAAACATAAAGATCTGGGACTTCAATAAAGTCATAGAATCATGGAATTGAATCATAGAATCAGTCAGGTTGGAAAAGGCCTTCGAGATCATTGAGTCCAGCCCCAACCTAACCATACAACTCTAACTAGCAGCCTTCTGCTAAATCATGTCCCTGAGCACCACATCCAATCAGTTTTTAAACACAGGGATGGTGACTCAAACACCTCCCTAGGGATCCTATTCCAATGTTTAACAATCCTTTCAGTAAAGAAGTTTTTCCTGATATCCAACCTAAACTTGCCCTGTTGCAACTAAAGGCTATTTCCCCTTGTCCTGTCACTGGTGAGGAGAGACCAGTCACTCCTATATTTTAAGTATGCATTTTGACACCTAAGTATAGAATTCTTATCTATATATTTTGATAGAGATTTGTGTATTGCAACAGTTATTAATCTAACAAAATTACAAGAATTTAAATTTCAAAACCGAAGTCTGCCTGCAAGCAGACTAACCAAGTATACAAATTTGTTGTCAAAAATTTACTGTTTGCCATGGTTTGAAGCGTTAATAATGTGACACCCCTTCACCTCCTCGGGAAGAAAGGGGGGGAAGGGAAGAGAGAAAAAGCCAATTAAGTAGGAGAAGTAGTTTATTAAAAGGAATGTGAGATAATACAGAATAATTAATAGAGTAATAAAATGAACCAAAAATAAAACCGGAGGAGAGAAAAAGTCCATCTGAATCTTTATTGACAGGCTCCCTACCCCTTGCCTCCTGGAAAAAGACCAGAGAGCTTTTTTGCCATCACCCAGAATTGGAAATCATGTGGATCCTGGGAAATGCTGTGCATCCCAGTGTATCTTCCCCTTGAAGAGTTAAAACTCACGTGAGGCTGCTGAAGATAAATGGAAAACACAGCTCTGCAGGCCAGTGTCTCTACACCCAACAGCCTGTCATATGATGTTATGATATGGAATACCGATAGAACTAGGACACTGTCAAAAATTTTATTGTAAATGACCATTGAGTAGGCAATTGCAAAAAGAAATTCCATGAAACCTGAGATATGTTTTGTTTAGTCATAACTTTCAGGACAAGTAATATATACTAACATGTGCTAATTTACAAATATGAGACCCTTGTTAACTTGTGGAGTTCAGTAACTTCGTGGACATTCAGTTTGTTTGTTGTAATTGTAGAAAGTCTGTATATTTTTTTCATGAATAAAAGCTGTTATTTCTACAGTGGGAGAAATGTGCTAATGTTATTTTTCTTAAGGAAGTTGTTTGTTCTAATTATGAAAGCTAATTTGGAAAATCTGTTCATTCTCAAATTTGTCAGTTGGATGTGCAACTTGAAAGATTTATGTGAGAGGTATGATGATACCTCTCTGAATATTCCATTTACTTCTAGTCTACTTGAATGGTTGTTTTTTTGTTTTGTTTTGTTTTGTTTTGTTTTTTTGTAAATATGGTCTCATAACAGCAGTCTCTTTTTTTTTTTTTTTTTTGTCCTTACAGATAGATACTGAAGAATTATGTTTTAAACTTTCCTGTGTTAGCCATGGATGTAGCACTCTCTCCTATGAGAACACAGGATCTGGACCCCACGCCATCTGATGCTTCTCCCATGCTTATAAACATGACTCCTACAGTAGATGGGGAAGAGGATGTCATGAAAGAGCTTGATTCTGGACAGCAATATGACAAGCCACCTCCTCTACACACTGGGGCTGATTGGAAGATTGTTCTTCATTTGCCAGAAATTGAGACATGGCTTCGAATGACATCTGAAAGAGTCAGGGATCTGACTTATTCTGTCCAGCAGGACTCAGATAGCAGACATGTGGATGTGCATCTAGTGCAGCTAAAGGTAGGATGAATTCAACATTGCATACTTTTACATGAAGATAGTTTCTTAAGGTCTGCTGCTGATGAAGTAAACAAAAGGCCTTTTCATATTTGCTGTATCATATCTGGCAGCTTTTGTTAAAAAATAGACCAATCTCTTTCAGGGAGAAAGAAAGGAGAATCATTTTCAGACTTTTTTTTTACAGTACTTATCACTGGATTCAGCAGCCATAACCATGTAAATGAATACATTCACACTCTAAGAGAAGCAAATAAAGTACTGAAAGAAATTTAATCAGTTATCTTGAAAATACCCAGAAATATTCTCTTTGATTTTAATGAGCTGAAGTCCATAAAACTCTAAAATCTGTTTCCTAATAAGCGTGGCTACTCACTTGAAACTTGAAGTAGTAGGATAGAAAGAGCACAGGTCTAATGCCTGGGCTCTCAGTCACATGGAGGTTATGTTCAAGGCTGAAATTAGATGGGACTATATACAGAACAGTAAATACATAATTTTTTTAAATCTCTGACTCACAGTAAGCAATAAGAAGTGATAAGATTTGAATAGTCACAGTCAATAAATCAATCACTGTTTTTTTTTCAGCAGGAAAATGCATTAGGGAGACTAGACTTGGAAATAAAATAAAATGGAATTTAAAAACCTATGGATTTTTTTTGTTAAATCTTCCTTCCATCAACTCATCAACTGAAATTGTTTGTTTAAATACTTATAGCTCTCTTGATCCCGAATTTAATTTTTTTTCAACAATTCAATGAAAATTCAGAACGAAATTCAGACAAATATTCTCTGGAACTTTCGTGCATATTCATTTGCATGGCTGGGTTTCCTGAAGCACACTAAACATGCTTCTGAAGGAAGCAAACAGCCTCCAAAAATAGTAAGCAAATGTTCACTCTTCAGACTGAGCTGTCTTCAGAGCTGTGTATTCTGAGGCCTGTTTGTGCAAACATAGTTTTCCTTCATACTCAGCACAATGGTATTTTATTTATGTTTATTTTTGGAATGAGGCTTTAAGCTGTCTTAAAATACAACTCTGTGTACGAGCATTATCTGTAGAGCAGTTGTACTGTATTAAGTCTTGAATTCTTTATGATCTATGCTCATGCCATTTTTTCTGAGAAAATTGGGATAGACTTTGCTAGTCTTTGAGCCCGTGCTGGCCTATGTCTACAACATTCAGTAGATTCTAAGAGAATATGTCTGAAAAGTATTTCTGCAAGCAGATGTTGAGAATCTTGCTGGACTTTATGCTGCACTGATATGAGTTTGCCTATGGCCAAATTAATATGGAGCTCAGCTGAAACTGAAGAGGCAGGGAGCTTGTGGATGTCATCTGTGCACAGCTTCAGGCCAGGTCAGAGTGCAAGCTGACCTGTGCCAGCTGGAAATCAGAGTGTTCTGCACATACTATTTACCCTCATGCATTCAATAAGATGTCTTATTTCCAAATGGAAGTCAGTGAGTTAAGAGCATCCCTTACAGTTTTCTTCTTAGAATTTAAGTAGCGTATTCAACAGTACTTCTTAAAGTACATTCCTAATGGTGGCTTTTTTTTCCATGTTAGCAGTTGCTGTATTACCTAGGGGTTGTTCAGGGCTAGGAAGGGACCTGGTTAATGCAACTGTTGAAAAGGGCAGAAGAATAACACGTAAGAATCTCAATTATGCACCGTTATCTCAACTGTGATCCAGTGACGGGCGCTAGGACTGAGGCTGTAATAAACAATGCTGTGTACAGAGCTTGGACTCGCAGAGAAGCTCTCTTTTTCTATAATCATTTGCATTTTAAGACATTTTTGAAATATTTGACATTATTGTTTTAGTTGTTTATAAAAATTGTTTTCTAAAAAAGATCTGGAATAGCAGTAAAAAGCGCCAGCAATTCTTAACAGAGACATTAGGAGAAAAAGTTCTGTAACTTGCTTGCCTTTTAAGCTCTGTACAGGCAAGAAAGAAATAAATATCTGTAAAATCAAGTGCCATAGAAAAGCTTTAGATATATTTCAAGTTGTTTATCCTTGTATCCTCTTGCATTACATCACTTAATAATTGCTGATGTTAAGTATTTCTAGGGCTTTAACTAAAAGATTTCCAGAACCTAGAGTCTCAAGTGTGCATGATAAATGGAGTAATATGGTAATCCATGCTTTATTTGGAGGCAAGTAACATGTTCAGGAAGGAGGAAAAGTTGTCAACATGAATGTAGTTATCTCATTGCATCTGAGGATAATTGAGATCAATAGCTGCGAGTGCATTGTGAAAAAAGATATTTTCTCCAGGCTGTTTTGTTTGCCATAATTAATATTTTCAGTAAATGGAATAAAAGTAATTATAATGCAGTCATCGGATGAAGTCAGTACATTTACAAAATAATGTTACTGAATTGAACAGTAACATAAGAGTTTTTTTATATGTTAGGTTTATGATCAGCACGATGAGCGCAAGCCTTATCCATTCTTCCCATTGTAAATGGCAAAGTACTAACATCTCACATATGCATGAGTATGTAATTAATATATACAAGGGCTTCACTGAAAGTAACGCCTCCTATTTTATTATGTTGACCCATGATGTCAGAGGCAGATGTTGGTGGTATGGAAACACACATTGAGTCTTCCTGACAATATTCCATTACATGTTGTTGTCGAGTGACAGATGGCAGCAGAGGGGCAATCTGACAAAATAGCATCTGACATAAAAGTACATATGAAGGAAAGGTGTGGAATTGAAGTCCTCCACGCAGAATGCTGTATAATAATATAAATGCTATAATAATTCTCACTTCTCTCAGGTATACCTTCCAGCTCATCTGTGTCCTTCTGGAAATGATGTGCCCAGGCCAAACACAGAATGCAGTGTCAGGCTTTACTGCTACTGCATAGACTGGACAAAGTGTTTCATATATCTTTCGAACAATGTGCCCCAATTCAGTATTTTCTTTTTTCACAACAGCAGGAGATGATTAATTCATATTCAGCTTGTGATTCCTTGTAACTCCCAAGTTCCTCTATGACACTTTGTAATTTTGTTATCAGTGTTATCTGTACAACTTCGCGTGTAGGATTTTGTCTTTGTACTTTCAACTTTTTATATTTTTTTAATTCTCCCCACACCTTAACTCTAGCGCATCTGTGACTTTTTTGGTTCCAGACTTATAATCTGGTGTGTTCCAGAAGCATCTCCCCTTAGTGCATACATTATTGTCATCTGCAGATCTAACAAACTTTCATTGACAAAAATGAATGATATAAACCCAGGATAAAAGCCTATAATATTATAACTTCTGAATTTTTACACAGTGTCCATATGACATTTTTTCCATTGCTTGTTTTCCTCAGCCAGCAAAGGTGAAATGGCATTTCAATGCAGCTTCCTATTTGCTTCGGATGTCTCTTCTGTCTGGCTGTCAGCAGGCTTGTGGTGATGGGCTGGTTTGATGATCTAGTCCTTAGCAGATTTGTTATTCATTTGTTTTTCCTAAATAATAATAATAATAATAATATATCTCTTTAAATTTCAAGTAATCCCTCTCTTGTGAAAATTTACTCGGATTCCTGCTGCAGATACATCTGTGCTTGTGATCTTTTTGCAATCAGCAGTTCTGTTTCTTTTTGTGGCTGTTTCCTTGGGAATTTGAGCTTTTCTTGTCTATTTGTTGCATGACTTAGATCTTTATTAGCTGATCCTTTGAAAAAACTTATGTCTCTAACTTTTGCAATGCCTTCTCTCAGAACAAGCCAAGCAGCATGAGTGGGACACTTGTCATATATCATCCCTTGGGAAATTTCCTGGAAAACTCAACTTCACATGAGCATTTCAGTATAGTGGATGCATGACTCATAACTCTCCAGGGTTTGGAGTGCCTTATATTAGCCTTTTGTCTGATGATCACTCTTAACTTGAGCTGTGCTGAGATTCATTTTCGTCTCTCTGACACATTCAAATGAAGCTGTGGCCAATTGTTACCAAATATTTGTAAAAGAGATTAAGAAAATAGTGGTTTTACTGCAAGCAAATCTAGAAGTCTGCACTCTGTCCTCAGCATCTGCTGATACAGTTTCATGATCCGTTTTTCTATTTTATTCTGCATGTTCCTGCTTTTGCAGAAAATTTCTTCTTGAAGTCCTCCTGGCATCTGACTTGTATCCATCTTGCCATTCTTCTTCTTGTTCTGTATATTCTTTAAACATCTCAGGCAAGGTTCTAGTGTTTCATTTCACTGATTATTAGTTTTTACTGATTGCTTAGGAAAAATTCTCATTTTGCTTGCAATGTAATTTTGGATAATCAGATATAAACTTCTGCATGTGAGAAGTTTATTGTGGAGCAAAGTACTTCTTCACCATACATATGGTTTGAACTACATATCTTCTGTTGCCATATAAACAGGCTAGCACATTCTGTGCTATCGTAATGTCTTAGATATTTATGGGACATTGATCTTTTCTTTCCAAACAAAAAGATTTCAGACATTCTCCTTCCAGGATCCCTCACCAACTTCAAGCATCTATTTACTGGATCTTCTGCCTTTCCTCCAGATTCCTCACATGATTTTCTTTGCATAGAGGTCAAATGGCATGTAGCCATTTTCCTTTTGCCACCTCTGTTTCCACTTATGGGGCCAAAGAATTTTTAGTTGTTTTTTTCTTCATACTTAAATCCTTGATAAGAGATGAGTTTAAAGAATTACCAAGGTATTGAAAGACATTTGTCTCTTATGCATCTGCAATTAGATACAGTTTATTCCTTTGCTGTAGTTGTTCCATTACAAACATTTAAAAAAATTATACAATGAGATTGCTATATGAGTATTTCTCTCATACTCTCATATGGAATTTATTAGGCATTTATTGTGTAAATAATATTAAACTTTGCTGTTTTTATTGAATAAATAGGAAAGGCTGGACAAAAATACTTTTATGAGTACTTTCAACAGGTTATCCACATCATTTTCTTTTAAAAATCAGAATTTCAAAATTGTTTATAGTGACCTTTTCA